TACCGCTACCGCCACCGCCACCGCTGCCGCTGCCGCCACTGCTGCTGCAATTGCTACTGCTACGACGACGACGACGATGACGACGACGATGGCGACGACGGAGACGACATCGATTCCTGTTGCTTTACTCTTGCTACAATTGTAGCGATGCATTCTTGTTGGCATCATTGGCAATCATTGGTGTTATTGGGCATCCCAGCTGGCTTTTTTCTGCTGTTGATCCACTATCGCTAGCATCACTCTAGAGCTCGTTCTCTAGCTACTGTACATGAATTGCAGAAACGTGAAACACACACTCGAAGCAGTGAAGAGCAGAAGCCCTACTATAAGGTACCCCAACTAAGGACCCCTATACCTCGGTCAAACCCCATCGAGAGCCCATCATCCAAGGCACGGTTTCCGGTCGGCCTCCAGGAACTTGGGAGTCGTTATGCGCTGAAATCTCTCCTGCAGAGTGTGGCTTCATGTTCTGTGGAGTTCTTTAGGGCTTTACATGGGTGGTACAAGGGCTCATGAAGGTTTCATGCTTTAGGGTCTAAGCTTTTGGGGTGCAGGGGCATGGATATTGCAGACGCTGCGGGCTTCGGAGCCTAAGGCAAGCTTATGTAGGAGTACTTGGAGGATCATGGAACTTAGTAAGTAAGGTTATAAGTCCCCTAATTGGGGTTATAAGTATAGTTACCTTAGCTATAACCCTACTTACTAAGTCCCATGATCCTTTAAGTAGGTGGGGAGCGGCAAGCAGGCTTGTGTTTTCTCCAGCTGCGGCACCCTTGGGTCGGCATGGCCCAGCACAATGTCAGACCTGCTGTGGCTAGCGAACTTCGCCAGCAGCAAAGCATCCGGACCGTCAAAGTTGCAGAACTCGGGCAGCGTCGACTGGCCCAGCAAAGGATGACCCACCTCCTCCACTGAGCCTTTCTTGGGCAGGAAGACCCGGCAATCATCCTGAGGATTCAGGCCGTCTTCCACGACCAAACCGTGGAAGACAAGGAATGCCCTGGCCTGTGCCTCGTCCTTGAAGGCGAGTAGCCTCACCAGCGCCGATAGTTTCACTGCATCCCCGATCGACCGCGGGTACGCCCGAGTGAGCATCCATAGCTGCCGCACCCTTGCCAGATCAGCCATCTCAGCCAGGGCCACGGCAGAAAGAAAGTCGGCTTCTTTGTAGAAGCGGAGGAAGCCGACGTAGTCACCGGCAAGAAACGCTGCACATGCAGCAATAGCAGACACCATCAAGGGATGCTGCAACATCGTGATGCCTAGGTCCGCAAGATGTGCAGGCAGCGTGGCCGGGGAAGTTGCCAACAGAAGTAGCACCACGAATCTCTGAATGGCAGGTTCGTTACAAAGCTCTGCAACATCTCCCAGGTAACACCGCACCTCTTGATATGCAGCCAGCAAAGGGTCGATGGTCTGCGAGATCGCTTGCAATCCTAAGTGTCTGCTGTAGCCTCCCTGGGATGGACCTTTGCCAGGCTCGCGACGGTGAGACAGGAGGAAGAGTGCCAGCATCTCGAAGCGGAGACAGTACTCGTGGCACTCCACGAACTCCTGCGCCGAACACGCTTTACAAGCTTGCCTGCAGATGGAACCTGAATCACGTGAAAAGCCATTGAACTCTGAATCTGCACAGGCCCCTGCAGCAAAGGGTCCAGGCTGCGTCCACTCAGGGGCTGTTGGAGATGCAAGTCTTGCCGCACTGCTCTGCTCCGGTCGCGAAGGTAAGCATAGACCTGCACGAAGAGTCAGGAAAGGAAGCGGCATCAGCAGCAGCAACGACGGCGACGACGACGACGCATCCACTGCCACTAACCCCCGCTACCACCACCACCAGCACCACCACCTCTGCCACAGCTGCCACATGCGTCGTCACCGGCGTCATGACCGTCTCCACCACCACCACCACAATCATGATCATCGACACAATGAACATCGATGTTGAATATCTTTGCATCATAGTAGTGCATCTGGTACGAGTAGCGTTAAAGATGCTGAAGGCTTCATTTCGACAGGTTTGGGCACTCACAGTCAAGGCAAGGCAGACAAGGTCTATGCCAACCAGTGCCTGTTCCAGCGATGGAGTCACGGAAAAGGGCGTGTCAGGAGCAACGTCCGCCGACAGAACCTAGCGTTCCAGAAGCCCGTGGGTGGCCAAATCACTGCATGGTTTGCTGCGTTAAGCACTTGGTTGCGCTAGCTGTGACTGCGGCTTTGGCTTCGGAGTGTAGGGCTGGGGTTGGGGATTCCTTGGAGGTCCATGGGTACTTAAAAGTAGGGTTAATAAGTCGGGTAACTATAGTCATAACCTGTATTTAGGGACTCATCACTCCTTTTATAACTACCCATGAATCCGCAAGTCAGGCAGGGGAGTGTGCGGGGAAAGGCGGGACGAACCCACCATTATGATGACCACGGGTGACTTGGCTTCAGTGGCGTAGTGCTACAGCTAGCAGTATAGAATAGGAGAAGTAGACGTCGAAGGAGTAGGAGTCGTTTCAGCAGCAGCAACAGCAATGACTGCCGTTGGTCGCCGTCAAGTGGTGGATTCAACATCGTGCTCACGGATACACACGTCATCGTCGTCATCCTCAGCAGCAGCAGCATCAGCAGCAGCAGCATCATTATCGCGATCATAGTCATCCTGCTGTTCCTACTATTCATCTTGTTGCTAGGGGTTAGAACTACTGTTATTCTCCTTGCTATGTTTCATCATGCTCTCTCTCTCTCTCTCTGATCACCACGGCCCCAGGGGCATCAGAAGCAAGAGGGTCAGCTTACAATCACATGGTGTATGCCCTTGACTACTGCAGATCAACTTCGGCTTCTTCAAGAAAGCCAAGGTGTCGCGACCTGTGTCATGAGGAAGATCATGGTACGGGTGCATGCCTCTAGGGCCGCTTGGTTTCACAGACAGATTTCCGACTTCTCTTTGAAGGTGCTTCTCCATCGGGCGGGATAGAACGCCAAGTTTGGTAGAACCAAGGACAGCAGCACAATGAACAGTATTGAACATCCCGCATGAGCTTGAATCTACTCATGCCTTGACTGCGACAATGCTCCAGCACTTACGGCTTAGAAATCAGGGTTGCGGGTTTGGGGATGCTGAGGCCGAGGCTTCAATCGCTACTTACCAAGTCTCCTGATCCTACAAGTTGACCTGAACTGGTCCAGAGCGCCTGGCCTCTACCATCACAGCAGCTGCCTAAGACGGTTATCAATACTGTACGTACTCCAGAAGCCCTGAAACCACACACAGAAAAGCAAGCTTGGCTACTCCTACTATGATGAATGGTGACTGTCGGTATCACAGCAAGTGCTGCTACATAACTCAAAAGGTGCCTGAAGGCTGCGAACCTCTTCCGCAGCAAAGACCTGGAGGTCAGCACGTAACTGTTTGAGGCACTGAGGATTTGGGGCGTCGGGGACAGAACATATGGATTTGGGTCCAGGTGTCGTTGTCGCTGAGGGTCTAGGGCTCAGGGTCTGGAGTTTAGGGTTTTGGATTTATTTGGGATTTAGGCCCTGTCCGGTTTAGAGCCTTGGGGGTCCCTTTCAGGTTGAGGGTGGCTGGATGCCGAAACCCAACAACGCGTAGGTCATCAGTAGCCAGCCTTGCCAGCAGCGCTCCGCTGGTACCTGGAGACATCATCGAAGTGGGTCAAGGGCCTGTAGACTGTAGACTGGCTGGGGCTGCTACCCTGCACATACAAAGTCGGGAGGCATGTGGGCCTTCTGGTGGCTAGGGTCGTGTACTTGCATTACTCAGATAGCTACTACCATTGCGGTTTGTGTTTCTTGGCATTGTTGTTGGAGTTGCTACTCGTGCCTTATCGATGTTATCAGCACCGTTCCGATGACGATGACGATGATGATGACGACGATGATGATGATGATGATGGTGGTGGTGGTGATGATGGTGGTGGTGGTGACGGTGATGGTGATGATGATGATGGTGGTGATGATGATGGTGGTGGTGCTGATGGTGGTGATGCTGGTGGTGGTGGTGGTGGTGGTGGTGGTGGTGGTGGTGGTGGTGGTGGTGGTGGTGGTGGTGGTGGTGGGGGTGGGGGTGGGGGTGGTGGTGGGGG